TCAGCTGTTTCTCAGTACACACAGGGGTGAAACCATCGGAAGACTGGAAAAACTGTTCAAGGTGCATGCATAAATTCCTCTTGGCCTTACGCGGTACTTGAAACTCTCTGTCGTCTTGATCTGCAGACAGTTGAAATGACCTGTACATGGATGGTGAATGCCACACGCACAGGCTTTCACTCTCTCCGGGTGGTTTCCAAAGAAAATAAGAGGAAGAGGCTACAAAAGAGGAGCATCTGTGCGCACTCCAAAACGGAAAAACAAACCAATGATCTAATTCCCCGGAAAACTCACTACTCAGAGAGCTCACACCGTGGGCCGCCAAGGTAGCCCTCAAGGTCATTGGCGCTGCACTTGATCCCACTGATTGGGATTCAACATCTCCATATCGCTCGCCTCCGGCTCGTCGTTCTGATACAAATTGAAACTCTGGGGAATCACCGGCATCTGCTGTGTCTCCTGGGCAGGTGCGATGGCTGCTTGGTTCCCCATCATCACATTGGCCATCTGCTGTTGCAGCATCTGCTGGGACTGCACCAGCTGAGAGATTGTGGCTGTCAGGGTGTTGGAGATCTGGTCCGCCTGGGCCTTCATCAATTCCTGCATCTCCTGGCGAGTGACATACTCCGCCGGTTTCGAAGCCCTGGCAGCATACCCTGCCGTCTTCTTGATCTTGGCCATCGTCTCCGAGCTTGTAGTTGCAGCAGCTGCTGACACCTTGGATACTTTCCTGGAGACCGGTTTCGGGTTGTCCGGCCCGAATTGGTGAAAGAAAAGTTGCTTCTTGCACAGCAGGCACTTTTTCCAACGGCCATATTGATTGGAGCCCGAGGCAACCTGATCCTCGGGGTGTTGACACTCCGGTGGAGTGGTCAAAGAAGCCATCTTGATGCTGAAAGGCCCCATGGTGAGCCTCAAAAGTTTGCTCACCAGAGTGAACCAGTGAGCTTGCATGGTCTCCCGGTGATTTTCGCTGCGGCTCCTGCCAAGCGCGTCCGGCTTCATGAAGGACCGCATGGCTAGCTGGGAGAGTCGAACTGAAAAAACACAGAATCAGGAACCTGAGCATGAAGCGGCTGTAGGGGAAACGGCTTTGAAATTTCTTCAAGCTGTGCTGAACTCCAATTTTGCTCAAAATGTCGCAAGATTCACTGAGAGACATGCTGGCTATTGGCTGTTTGGTGTGAACGTGAATGGTCCAAGTGTCAACGGCATCACAATGTCTGCACTCAACATGCTCTACCTCGGTGCCTTGCAATCTATTGATGTTGATATCTTGGCAAATGACATGACAGCTGTTCGACGTGACATGACCCATGGTAACCCAGTTAAAGCCCAAAACCCCTGTCGTGTTGACCTGCTTGCCTTGCCTCATGTGGACTTCAAAATTCAGATCCTGAATCAACAAACGACTCGGTGTCTCGACCGCAGCCATGTATGCCCTTGCGCCATCGGAGTGAGACACCTGAAACGCCTCAGGAGTAAGCTGATACTCGGCCATCACTTGAGGAGGCACTGAAAAAGGCTTTGCTCCTAAGGTGACATCTAAAATCCTATGACCCGACTCAAGCCGTTTCATGGGAACTTCATGACCGAGAGCCTGGAATTGGATGACATCCCGGCCGGTGTCGATCACCGCCTTCGTATGTTCGAGCAGCCCAATCGACAACAGGTGTGGGACGTCTTCCTCGATCACCGTCAACTTGATGACCCCGGGGCAACCAGCCAAGAAGCAGGGGGCCAGTGCCTTGAAGAGGGTCTTGGCTGAGCCACCAATGCCCGAAGCTGGTCCGGGGTCTTCTTCAAGTCGGACTGTTTTCAAGCCCTTCTTCTCAAGTTCGACGCATAGCTTCTGGTAAGCCTTCAGGCCAATGAGGTCCTGGCTGGCTCCAGGATCCACTATGGCACACCCGGGAGGGATCTCCAAAAAATTGAAATAGGAGCTCCAACCAGGAAAATTGCTTGTCTTCTTTTCTCCCAAGCCAAGAAAGACGAATGCTGACGGAGTCGAAGAGGTAGACCTGCCACCTTGGAGCCTCTCGCTTTTGGGCTTGTAGGGCGCTGTGCAATCTTCACGCCAGTGGCCCTTCACGCCGCAGTTGCTGCAGCGGGTGATCGCCTTGAGCTGGGCAATTGGCATGCGGCCTTTGAGATTGGCCGGCTTCGAAGGTCTAGACGAGACATCGTCAAAATGCCTCCGATCCTTCTTGCGAGCATTTTTGAGGTTCTTGTTCTCGGCCCAAGTGCGTCGTCTCTTCTCAGACCAGTCAGCCAGGTAGTTCATGGCCTGCTCCTCATCAAGGTCGTCCTTCATCACGGAGCAGAGGAAGGCATTGATCTCGACATCGTCCAGGGGCTGCTCATCGTCAGTCTCATAGATGTCGTTTTCGGCAGAGACCTTGACATCGCCGGGCTCAGCCAAGTAGGTTGACTGCTGCTTAGCACGGACAATCGGCTCATCGTCCACATCCAAAACTTGCAAAGCCCGAATGACCTTGGAGAACTTGATGGAGCCGCCGGTCAAGGAGCGAAGATTCTGCAGGTTCTGCCTACTCAAGCCAGCCTGCTCCTCCAACATAAAGGCCTTCAGGTCATTGGGCAACTCAATGAACTTAGAAGCCGCTGAGAACTGCGCCTCGCGGCGCCAAGAGTACTGTGCCAAGCTTTCCTCGCTTCTGCGAGGCCCCTCATAGAGTGCAGCCCTCACGCATCGCCGCTTTTCCGACTCTTCTTTCTCACCGGCTAAAACATCCAACACGGCCAAGATGTTCTGCAAGTAGGTCTCTGACTGCAAGTCTTGGTCAGAGATATGGTCAAGTTTGGACTGCAGCTCCCAATCGAAGCTCTTGAGGATCTTCTCGCTGCGTCGACGCAGCAACACGTCAGTGTTGCTGTCCCATCGGACCAAGGCTCTCTTCCAAAGCCTGTAGTTGCTCCAACCACCCCATGCAGGTGGATCGCTAAAGTCCCCCTTGGTCTGCTTGTCCCAGCCCGCAGATTGCCACTGCCAAGAGGCGTTGTGGCTTCTCCAGTGGGTCCAAGGATCTAAGGAACCTGTCTGGGTCCCGTTGGCAATGGCCGCAGCTCCCCAGGCATCGGAGTGGTGTGAGCCTCTCGCGCCCCAGCGCTGCTCATCCCACTCTCTCCACTCTTCTGCTGTCCACTGCCTCCATCCACTGGCTGATCCTGACACGCTGTCACCTCCTTCCGCTGCCGCTGAGGCTGGATGCCCATTTTCCGATTCGCCCTGCGTGAACTCCTCTACGGTGTCCATCGTGGAGCCTCACCAGGGCTCTCGCTACCACTGTCGCAGAAGCAAGAGATGCAGGACGCAACGATTTTCTTCCGATGGTGGTGTGACTGCAGGGCGAATCGGTGTTAGACCAAAATGGCTTCAGATGACAACTCAAACATCGCAATGCTTCTGGTAGATGTCTGACTGCCAATCAATGTTCACATGACTGCAAAACGTGGAGGTTTCTTCTGACAGGTGCCCCGCCTGGACATGATGCGGTGCACGTGGTGTGTGGCCGCCCGGGACCCGGGCTGATGACTTTGCAACACCCCCTTGTGAATTCCAGCAGGTAGTTGGGGCCCGAACTTATAGCTATAAATTGCGAAATGGTCCCCAGACCATCACTATAAAGTGGGTAGCGCCCACATGGCATTGAGCTTCTGTAAAGTTCAAGGTGGTACAAAACCAAAAACCTACCCAATCAAGGGTTGACGCAAAAAAAACCGTCTATAAAGTTCAGGCTTGGAAAAAGGCTCTGAATTTTCACCCTCATTGTCCAACCCATGTTGAACTTTGTAGAGAAACCCTGAACTTTATAGAGACGGCCTCTGTTCAAGCCAATCCCAATCAATGATAGCCAGGACTCAAAGAAACTCAGCGCGCATTTTCCTCCCAACTGCACATCCTCCCACATCCGATAGTTGGGCCCCGAGAAAGACCCAATATGGCTCACCTGGCCCAATAAAGGCCCGACATGAGCCCAACATGCGCCCAACAGAGGCCCTTCCAAGCCCAACTTCTTCGCGCTAAAAATTGCAATTTTTAGCGCGAAGAAAAGGATCCCAAAAATTGCCCTCACCGCTTCCAAACGACCCAAGTTAGACAAAATATGGCCCAATCGAGGCCCAACATCAGCCCAACATGGCCCAATGAAGGCCCGACATGAGCCCAACATGCACCCAACATAGGTCCTTCCAAGCCCAACTTCTTCGCGCTAAAAATTGCACAATTTTTAGCGCGAAGAAAAGGATCCCAAAAATTGCCCTCACCGCTTCCAAACGACCCAAGTTAGACCCAATATGGCCCAATCGAGGCCCAACATCAGCCCAACATGGCCCAATGAAGGCCCGACATGAGCCCAACATGCACCCAACACAGGTCCTTCCAAGCCCAACTTCTTCGCGCTAAAAATTGCACAACATGACATCATGCAAGCCTACAAACTTGAACTGGTTTCCTGCAATACCAGCCGTCTCCACTACAAAATGCGTTTTCAGCAGGTTGCTTTTTCATGAGAAAAAGCAGGGAAACCAAAAAAACTGTCTATATAAAGTTCAACCACGCCATGGTATACAAAAAAATCTCCTCAAATATTGCCCCTTTTTTGGCACCAGATTTGAACTTTATGGAGAAAACTTCCTCTATAAAATGTTATAAAATGCTCTGGTTTCTGGGTGTCGACACCCAAACTTTGTAGAGGAAATAGGCAAGGGGATTTTGCAACCGCATCCCTTGGAACTTGCAATATCTTAATACCGGTTGGGTATACCCAACGAGAATGTCACAAAACCTCGTCTCTATCTAGAAAACATCTATAGAAAGAAAACATTGGAAAACATCACCTTTTGAATCTTGACAACACTCTTGCCAAGACCAGTGAGATCTGTTCCTTTCAGGAGGGCGTCGCTGTTAGGCCACTTATTCAACTTCCACCAACTTCCCACATCTACATCCCCCGATCCAAGCCGACCGAGATTCCCCTCGCCTCTGCAAAGGAGCCTTTGGCCTCCAGAAGATCTGCCAGATTGTAGACGGAGCTGAGGGTGTCCGGATGCTCGGGGCCCAGCTGACCTTCTCGCCCTGTCAGGGCCGTGCGATAGAGCTCCTCTGCCTACAGGGTGGGTTGTGGATGGATGACAGCAGGGTGGCTTCCTTTGCCGTGGCGAGATGAGCCTTGTGCTGTGATCCGCAACTGGTGAAAGGCAATGTGTTGTTGGTGATGCAGCGTGGCACATTGATTGTTCAAACACCAAAACCTGCAAATCTGAGAATCTGATCTGCATAGGATGGGATGGTGGGAACCACGAAGCCAAGGTGAAGGCTTTTCTTGTACTGCGTGAAGCTGGCACACATTGTCGATGCATCAGCCAAAGCTCTAAATAGAACCGAGCTACCAAGTTTCACTTCTTGGAAGACAATGTTGATCTACCCTTGCGCAAAATGCATGTACTGCTGTTGAGATCCAACAACCCAGTCTAACGGATTAGGCCCAATCTGGTATCTACAGCCGAAGCTTGGATTCCGGAGAAACAGTTTCATGATGCTTGGCACGTGTCTTGCGGGGTCAACTCACCAAATTCACTCGCAACAATCCTGGGGACAGTCAATCTCAATGCAAACTTAAGCCACAAAAGACTTATCAATACTTATCACATACTTATCACTTATCACAGATTCACATTCCGATTCCCAAAATTCCTCCAGTCTTGGAAACAAGAACATTCACCAGTTTCTCGTCCCGGCCACATGCGTTCCCCCCAAAGACCTCGGCCTGGCCTCCTCCAACTTGCCCTGCTTCTCCAAGACAAGGGCCAAGTTGTTAACCGAGGTGAGCGTCTGGGGATGTTGGGGCCCCAGTTGGGACTCGCAGCCTTCCAAGGCTCGGCGGTGGAGACCTTCTGCCTGGCGGCTCGAGATGGAGCTTAAGGTGGTGAAACATGAGAAGAGCTCCAGCTCAGGCCCCATGGGTCATGGAAAGGGAAGAAAAGCCAACAAAGGCCACAATTTTTGGAGTATAGTGAGAACATACTATTCCAAGGCCAACATCTTATCACAGATTCACAGTCCGATCTTGGACTTTAATGAGAAAATACTATTCCAAGCACCTGTCAAAAACTGTGGGAACTCACCGCAATCAGCTTTAGATGATCACCAAAATCATTCACAAAACATCATAAATTCAGTCCGAGGTGAAGGTGGGAAGCAAGAAAACTCACCCGTACCGTACCAGTCTTTCCGCAACTTCTGTGTACCCCAAGAAATCCCAAGAACCTCAGCCTGGCCTCTTCCAGCTTGCCCTGCTGCTTCAAGAGAACGGCCAAGTTGTTAGCCGACTTGAGCGTGTCGGGGTGTTGGGCTCCCAGTTGGGACTCGCGGCCTTCCAAGGCTCGGCGCTGGAGACCTTCTGCCTGGCGGCTCGAGATGGAGTGCTAAGGTGGTGAAACATGAGAAGAGCTCCAGGTCTCGTGGTTTCATGGCTGATTTATGGGAAAGGGTAAAGGTCAACGAGGGCCACAATTCTTGGACTAGCGGTATGAAAATGCTATTCCAAGCGCTCGTCAAGCACTCTTTGAATTCAGAACGAGGTGCCACGAAAAACTACGATACTTGCCTCCACTTAAGATAGTCAAATAGTCAAGGCCTTCTGACTTGCTTGGCCCGTGTCTTTGGTGGTTAACCCAATAATTTCACAATAAATTCACCAACAGCAATGCTGTCCAACACTCAGGCGAGAAATGCTTCCCCATCAAACTCAAATCAAAATCTGTCCGTACATCAGCCTAGGATAGCCTAGGCATCAACTCACATTCCCAAATTGCTCTGGTGAAACTGGGAAAAACAATTCACCCCTCTGGCCACATGGGAAATGCCTTCCTCTTGACAGTGCCAGGAAGGCCACCTCTCTGCACCCCAAAGACCTCAGCCTGGCCTCCTCCAACTTGCCCTGTTTGTGCAAGAGATTGGCCAAGTTGTGCACCGAGACGAGCGTGCTGGGATGTTGCGGTCCCAGTTGGGACTCTTTGCCTTCCAAGGCTCGGCGGTGCAGCCCTTCCGCCTCGCGGCTCGAGGTGGAGTGCTAAGGTGGTGAAACATGAGAAGAGCTCCAGGTCTCGTGGTTTCATGGCTGATTTATGGGAAAGGGTAAAGGTCAACGAGGGCCACAATTCTTGGACTAGCGGTATGAACATGCTATTCCAAGCGCTCGTCAAGCACTCTTTGAATTCAGAACGGGGTGCCACGAAAAACTACGATACTTGCCTCCACTTAAGATAGTCAAATAGTCAAGGCCTTCTGACTTGCTTGGCCCGTGTCTTTGGTGGTTAACCCAATAATTTCACAATAAATTCACCAACAGCAATGCTGTCCAACACTCAGGCGAGAAATGCTTCCCCATCAAACTCAAATCAAAATCTGTCCGTACATCAGCCTATAGGATAGCCTAGGCATCAACTCACATTCCCAAATTGCTCTGGTGAAACTGGGAAAAACAATTCACCCCTCTGGCCACATGGGAAATGCCTTCCTCTCGACAGTGCCAGGAAGGCCACCTCTCTGCACCCCAAAGACCTCGGCCCGGCCTCCTCCAACTTGCCCTGCGTCTCCAAGAGAAAGGCTAAGTTGTTGACCGCCGTGAGCGTGTAGGGGTGTTGGGGTCCCAGTTGGGACTCGAAGCCTTCCAAGGCTCGGCGGTGGAGACCTTCTGCCTGGCGGCTCGAGATGGAGCGCTGAGGTGTCGAAACATGAGAAGAGCCCCAGCTCAGGCCCCATGTGTCATGGAAAGGGAAGAATAAGCCAACAAAGGCCACAATTTTTGGACTATAGTGAGGACATACTATTCCAAGCGCTCGTCAAGCACTCTTTGAATTCACGGGATGCCAAGAAGCATCCATTTATTCAATTTACTCACAGTGTTTGCTCACATTGCTGGCCCGCTCTCACGAAACAACCCTGGGGCGACCACGGAGGTGGCTACGGCTCGGATGATCGGTCATCATCTCAAACATTCTTGGACCCTCCACTTCCGAGGAAAAAATGGTCGTTCTAAGAAGATAGGTCAAAATAAACCAAAAAATGATTCACTTTGTTCCAAACAAGTATGCTTCTTGGAAAATCTCAGCACTACGGCCGGGTACACAAACCGTGATGATTTTTGGAACAGCAAAAAAATCCAAAAACTACCTAAAACAACGAGGTTTCAGGATTTGCGGGTTTTTGGTGTTTTTTTTGCGGGTTTTTTGCGTTTTTTTTGCGGGGTTTTGCGGGTTTTCTCCCTAGTCGTTTGATGCGCTGCAAACATTTTTTGGCCTTTGTCTCACCAAGCCCAAAATCATGCAATCAAATTCCTAAAACCGAAGACCAAAGTAGTATCTACAAATAGGTGTTTTGGGTAAAATCAGTCGATATAGGTCAAATTCCGAAAACACCTATATTTTTGTAGGATTTGGAGGGTATTGTCAAACGCCCTCGAAAATAATCAACGGATTAAAATTGCTAAGGGCCTCGAAAAGCCCTGCCGAGCATGTAGGCAGGCTAGATATGGCTAGATTGCATATAACGAGAAATACTCCCTTCACAGGTTCAGCTGAACTGGTGATGCTGTCACAGTCAAACAGGTGCCTGTGCGGCCATCTAAGATCATACATATCACATGAATTTTGCAAACTTCAGATGGCATTAGGGACGCTGGGCCTGTGCCTGTTGGCAACCTTTTCGGCGAGCTGTGCTTTGTTCAGTGTTTTGAAGACTCTTGGCAAACCACTTTGACGTGCCAATTCACGGTCGTAGTTTCAGATTTTCACAGATTCCTCACGCAAACAACTGGCACACGATCATTCCCATTTAGCTGATTTTGATCCTCCTGGGGGTTCTTCCACCGTTGCCTCTGTAGGGAGAATTTCACACTCCTGGGACAATCGCTGCCCGCTTTCGTCATCGTTCTGAAATAAATAAACTGCATCTATTGTGAAATACATGTGTTGCATGTGTTTTATCGCGGTCCGGAAACTCTTGCATATAGAATCAAGAGTCCGGGTTTAATCACTTAAAGAGGCGTTGGTGTCGTGAAGAAGGCTCTTACAAACGGCCTTGGCTAACTGATTCTGTAAAGACACAAATCTAAGGCGTTTGTTGAACTGCGCCAAATTAGTATTGACATCACTATGCTGTTGTGTTTCCCAGTGTGGCGTCACAAGCCGTGCAGTTCTTTTCTGCCTAACAAGCTCCAAAGATTCTTCAGAGTCTTGAGGTGATGAACTCTGTTTGAAAGGAGTTTGTACTTTTCTTAGTTTTCCGCTGAGAATTCAAAGTTTTAGATTGCGGGAAAATGCAAGCGGCTGATCGGCTCCCAAGGTTGACTCACCTGTTTTGAATTGGAGGACAGATCCTTGGCACCGATGCACATGGATGTCTGGATTTCATGCGCAAGCAATTCAACTATATATTGAATTTGGGTAAAACTTTGGAGGTGCAAAATAGCAGAGCATGCGTATATAATATAATAATATATAATGTGAGAGTTTTGCAATATGTTCATTTTTCCGATTACAACTATGAAACTAACAGTTTTGTGGATGGGGGTCTCAACAATGTCCTCCTTTCATTTGGCATGGACTTAACTAATTAATTTGTGTTAGTTCGCTCAAAAAAGGTGACCCAATAATACCGGGAAATTGAAAAGATCAAATCCAGGGCCTTGGCCAAACAAAAAAATGCCCTTGGTGAAACGTCCTCCAGGAAGGTCACCTCTCACCCGGAAGACCTCAGCCCAGCCTCATTCAGCTTCCCCTGCTGCTCCAGGAGCAGCGCCAGGTTGTTCATGGACTGAAGCGTGTGCGGATGATTCGCACCGAGGTGCGCTTCGCGCCCTGCAAGAGCTCGGCGGTGCAGGGCCTCCGCCTGGCGTCTCTGGATGGCACCGGTGGTGTGGGGCCCCAGGCCAGGATCCGCCTGCGAGTACCATGTGGAAAGGGAAGAAAGGTGGGCAACGGCCTTGAGTTTGGACTGATGAAAAAGATGTCAAGTCCAATTGTACCATGTAAATGCACACATAATTCAAAACTTGAAGAATAAAACGCAAAGTTCGACGAGTTGACATTTCAACATAATTTGGATGTGCGTCATCGTCGTTCCAATCTTCCGTTTGCAAATAAACTCAGGGTGCATCTGTTCTGTGATTTTTTTGCAAAAACGCTTTGACAGCCTCAGACATCTCAGACTGAAACTTGCAACGCGGCATCTGTTCTTTGCAAACATCTTTTGCCAAACTTTGACATGTCCATGTTTTGGCACGTCCATACATGACGTGATTTGAGATGATTTGAGATGATTTGCGTAAAATTGACATGTTCATGTAGCATCGCGCTTCTACATAGATGACAAATTCTGAGATGATCTGAAAATGTGGTTGTTGTTTCCCTGCAATTTTTCCCACCTTTTCCCAACACAAAATGCAGCACCATCCACCCACCACGGTGACTGCAGCACAGCACATCAGCGGCGCCTCGCTGAACTTCCTCAGGCGGCACAGCACCGACGCCAAGTTGTTCACCGCGATGAGCGTCACGTGGTGCTCGGGGCCCAGGCGCCGCTCCCGGGCCTCCAGTTCTCGGCGCCGCAGCGGCTCGACCTCGGCGAACGCGCCGCGCTCCTGCAGCACGTACGCGAGCCTCAGCCGTGGATCGCCACGGGAGCCGAAAAGTTCCCACGGCTTCGTGGGGAGAGAGGGCACTTTTTTGACTTTGTGGTGTCGTGGCATATTTCTGGATCCAAATCTCTGGTGAGAAAACAAGATTGAACTGGGATTCGAATTGTTTTGATTACGCTTGAGCAGTTGCTATAGGCTATACTGATTGATGCTATTTGATGCTTGTTGTAAATACTGTTGCCTACTGCAATCTACAGCTTTCACTTTTGCGGCTTTGCGGCATTTCTGAAGGAAATCTCTGGTGACAAGACAATACAGTTCTTGACTCAACAATACATGTTTGCTAATGTGTTCGTCTCTTTGGAGGGACTGAGATCCAGACCGGCCCAGTGCCAAAAGCGCTGCGTCGTGCTCAGGGCCCAATCTTTCGGCTGTGGCATCTGCACGGCACCGCAGCCTTGGTCCATGATGATGCCTATCACATGGCTGTGCCTATCACATGGCAATGCGGTGGTCGACCATGGCACCAACATGGAAGACAAATCAAGTTCAAGAGAATGGCCAACGGTACGCAAAATCATCAAGGTGTGGGACGGCTCCCGGCTTCAGTCAGAAGCTGGCTACTGGGCTGCAATCCATGGTCCCTGCTTTGCGGGATCTTCAACCATATGTTTTTACGCGTGAGGGTGGGGGAGGCCAGGTTTTTTGAAATTGGCAGACGTTTGTCCTAAATGGAGCGGGTAATTCAAGTCAACTCATAGCATAGTCAATAGACATGGCATAGACGAATATAGCCAATAGATACTATAAAACTCGAAGTGGGCCGTACTCAAGAAATCTCAGAAGGCAATGTCGCGCGGGCACGCCTGAAAGAGTTTCAAAGTTCCAGAACCTGAGCCACGCCTTCTCCACATCTTAAAGTGAATGGTCAGGCGGCAAGATCAAACATCAAGCGATTCTGCTCGATCCCTTTACTCCCAGATGCTTTCAAATGTAGGACAAGGAGCCCGAGCCAAGACAAACGGTGTTTTTATCTTGCGGTGTACCTTTCTAGATCTGGAGTGTGCTTGTAATGGGATTTGAAAATTACATCTTCCTCTATTGGATTGATGACCATGATGACCATCCCCCAATATAGATACATGTCTTATCATTTCTTGCAAAATTGGAGCATTTTACGCATGTCGGAAGGTCCTTCATAGAAAACACACCCGTCACACCCGTCACATCCGTCACCCAAAGATGGCACACGTCCGTGCTCTTGGGAACCCCCGCATGGTCCATCCTGGGCAGATTTAAAAACGCCTTCTATCTGAACTCACATTGAATACTCCCAAGTGACTACGGCTCCAATAAACTAAGTATCTAAACACATGATTTTTTTCATCAGATTGGACGGTATGTGGTTTTGCTATTCTATGATGTCATGAAAAAATTGGGAGCACTCAACAACCATCCAGGGACATCCTCAAATGGGGTTTCCCGACAGGTTCACACTTTGCGGCGTGGCCACTGCGGCTGTGGCCTTGTTTAGGCCGAGTGCTGAACCACTGGCACTGGCGACTGGGGGGTGTGAAATCATCCCCAAATGGCCACTTCAGTAGGAAACATTATGCCATTGGATTTTGGATATATATTCCTCTATTTTCAAACAAACCCAATTCAAATCAGCCTTAAATTTCATTTAATTTCTAAAACGCGCACAGTGGCACAGCATGGTGCCAGGATGCCACACGGACCATGACCACGGCAATGCCAAGGCTTGCCAGCAGCTGGAAAAAGCTTTCCCCATCACGGTTGAATGGCTGGTGGTTCCAAACTTCAAATCTTTGAACGTGGAAAATTGGGGGTTTCCCATGGGGTTAAACCATGTTTTTCCTAAGTGTGTTTTGCGACAGGTTCTCATTTCACGGGGAAACCATGTTGGTGTTTATGCACGTGGGGGGAGCTGTCAATTTTCCAGGAAGTTCTGGCTCTGAAGCTTCAATACCCACCACAGTTGGAAAAACATGACTGACCTGGAAACTGGAACTGATAGCCCAAATATGTTGGGAAATTGACACCCCAGGCCCCAGGCCAACTCTGTCCAAGAAACAACATTCCACAAAACCACCGTTCGGGTTGGTCAAAGGCCGAATTTTGCCTGGTTCTGTACATGTGTTTCTTATAATTGAATCCCATGACCCAAGATGACCCAAGACTCTCTTTGGTTTTTCACTGTGACAGCAGACCGGGGCAACGCCAAAGCTGAGATCCAGAAAACATGGTTTGCAGCTGCAAGTCCACGATGTCAGTGAGAATTCGCTCCCCACCTGCCCTGAATTCCTGGGCCCCACTCTCCCCACAAATCCGCTGTGTTTTCCTCACGAAAGGCCACAGATCCCAAGCTGCACCGAGCTTGGAACAAGTCTCGTGGGTCGGGTCTAGAAAATCTCGAAACTTTCCGTCCACCCAAACTGCGCCGCGGAGATTGAACGACTCTTGTAGGTCAGCGCGTGACCCTGTGCGGTCTGAGAAGATTCCGTTCTTTCAGGCGGAGCAAGTCTCCCTTTGTCCGACTTGGCGAGCAAGTCAGCGTGTAACCGCATATGTTGTTTTTTTCAGGGGAACAATCAGACTTCTCACCTCAGCCTAGAAATCAAAGGAGCATCCAGGCTGAACAACACTCCGACACAAGAGGGATTGTTACAGTCACGCTTGGCTGAACCTTTGGCCCGCGTCTTGCTCACAATCGGATTGGCATGCAGCAAATATGAGTCAAATATGTTTGGCACGGAAATTGAATAGTTGCAGTGTTGTAGGCCCAGAAAGAAAAATATACTTGTTCTTGATCGGGCAAGATGAAACAGCTGGTTGAACCAGCTTCACCACCCAGCATGTGGCCACATGCGGCCTAGGTCAAATTCTCACTACAGATTTTGGTCATCTCGCAACATCTAAGGAGATTCAATCAAGTTCATCGTCTTGCGGCCTCCCCACAGAAGTCTGGAGCACCGAATCTACGACTTTTCCAACCCTACTTGAGCCGCCGTCAAACTTCATTGTCTCAGCTTTGCTCAAAACTAACGGGTGTGGTTTTTCAGGGGGCCCTATCGCTACCCAGGGGTTTTGCTTCTGATGATGGGTGAAGAATAATTCACAGCAAATCGAATGTACAATCTGCACCGAATCCAAGCTAGCCAGCTCTTGTGCTGCTTTGCTGTTGTGCTCGAGATGCCAGCAGTACGAGCTGGAAAGAAAATAAACCATCCATCAAATGTCGCTTTTTAAGCAGTTCAATCAATGTCATCGTTTTGTGGCCTCCCCACAGAAGTCTGGAGAACCGAATCTACGACTTTTCCAACCCTACTTGAGGCGCCGTCAAACTTCATTGTCTCAGCCTTGTTCAAGACTAACGGGTGTGGTTTTTCACGGGGCCCCATTGCTACCCAGGGGGTTTTGCTTCTGATGATGGGTGAAGAATAATTCACAGCAAATCGAATCTACAATCTGCACCGAATCCAAGCTAGCCAGCTCTTGTGCTGCTTTGCTGTTGTGCTCGAGATGCCAACAGCACGAGCTGGGGAAAAAAAACATAATCCATCAAATGTCGCTCTATAGGAGATCAAGTTCATTGTCTTGTGGCCTCCCCACAGAAGTCTGGAGAACCGAATCTACGACTTTTCCAACCCTACTTGAGCCGCCGTCAAACTTCATTGTCTCAGCCTTGTTCAAGACTAACGGGTGTGGTTTTTCAGGGGGCCCTATTGCTACCCAGGGGTTTTGCTTCTGATGCTGGGTGAAGAGTAATTCACAGCAAATCGAATGTACAATCTGCACCGAATCCAAGCTAGCCAGCTCTTGTGCTGCTTTGCTGTTGTGCTCGAGATGCCAACAGCACGAGCTGGGGAAAAAAACATAATCCATCAAATGTCGCTTTTTAAGCAATTCAATCAATGTCATCGTCTTGTGGCCTCCCCACAGAAGTCTGGAGAACCGAATCTACGACTTTTCCAACCCTACTTGAGCCGCCGTCAAACTTCATTGTCTCAGCCTTGTTCAAGACTAACGGGTGTGGTTTTTCAAGGGGCCCTATTGCTACCCAGGGGTTTTGCTTCTGATGATGGGTGAAGAGTAATTCACAGCAAATCGAATGTACAATCTGCAGCAGATCCAAGCTGGACAGCTCTGCTTTCATTATTCGATGTCCGTGTCTGGCCAACTCTTGTTCTTAATCTTCAGCGCTTTGGGGGCATTGGCGCAAAAAAGAAACCAGGTTATGTCCAATCAGTCTAATCTGAAAGGGCTGCAGATTTGCAAAGGTGAAAATGATGTGGAATCTAGCCATGATGTTGATGTTCTCTGTAGAAGTTTTGCCGGGCGCGAACATCATTGCTTTCCTTGGGGCACTGACGCATATTGATGTTGATGTCGGTCTAAATCCAAGAAACTGCTCCAAGAAGGGGTACTTCGAGAGAAGTTGCTGCAAACCGTTCGTTCGGAGAGCGGCTTTGACATGAGCTGAATGACATGGGCTGCATTCCAGCAGTATCATGCAACACTGTTTCACACAGATTGTAGAATATTGTACTATAGATGTTTCTTCGGCGAGAAGGAGCGTGGAAACCTGTAGCACAGCCTGGAAAAAACATGTAGCCATCTTCTCCTTCAAACTGAGTAGATTGGATGCGCGATTTTTCCCACTAGCTAATGGACTCTACAAACGTAGTGTCAATGTTGGCTAGTCGATTTAAGGCTTCTCACCCCCGGAGTCGAAGGATGCCTTTCACAAACAAGGGCCCTGCCTCTGTTGGGACCTCAAATAAATAAAACTCTTGCATCTTGCACGTTGAGGGATACAAAACTTGTTTGTGAGGCCAGTGTCCCACAGCGAAAGAAATTTAAGGATGCGCCTTGTCCAAAATGAAGGGGCATGGCGTGATTTCAAAACATGTAATGACACCCCAGGAGCTACAAAACACCATGGCCACAGTGTTGCTTGTAGATCTTGTAGCATACTTATGATCACATCTTTGGCTGGAGTGCTCTCATGATTTGGGACGTTGCTCTTTCCACCCTCAAATAATAACGTGCCCCACAAAGCAACAGGGAAACTTCGGCGCCTCGGGTGTGTGAATAACGTGCATGCATCTTCAATCATGCTGATTTGCCATCATAACTTGCTCGTTTTTCTGGCAATCCTGCTTCGGGTGGTTCAAGCTGGTTCATCGGACAGCTTAAACAGCACTGATGGGGATAGGTTGGTTTTATCTTTTGAAGCAGTTGCCAACCTAATCTGGAAAAGTGCCCACGCAATATTTCTGTCACAGTTTGGAACCTGCACCGCGAGTTCACCAGAAGAAGCTCAACTGTTTTTGACAACATTCGGCATTAGGAGCCTGTTGAGATGCATTTGCTTGTCCAATGTGAATTTGTCCCAACTGCGGTGGTTGAGGTGTTGCTCAAACAAGCTTGACGAGACCGTTGCCTTAAAAAGTCACCTAAAAAAACCAAAAGAACCAAGACTGTGCCGCTCACAGCCAAAGGGTTGCCCAAAATGTTGAAATAAATGCGAAAGAGTGGCATTTCCAAGCTTAAACCAAGGTTGGAAAGATCACTTTTCAGGGCGGTGGAACATCGCCAAGGTGGGCCAGCAGAATGCCGGGTCGCCTCCCTAGCAAGGTTGCTGATTAGCGTAGGTCAAATAACCTGTGTCGATTTGCAAAAAATGTTGTTGATGTAAAGGCAACGAATCTATCAATATAGTGTTCTGCTGAACTTATGGTGATTTGGTTGGCCCTGAACCAGGACGAGGAAACGTGGTCGCTCAGAGTCAAGCTTCCCGCTGTCGTTCGCTTGTCAAAAGGTGGTTGCTCAAACATGCAGCTGCTACCGGGGCAGTTGTCGTAATGA